GCTTTGCCCGTACCCTGCGGGGATGGCGTGCGGATGGAGCCGCAAGGTCAGGCCTGATCCCTTTCGGTCAAGCCCCTGGCTCGGAGCTGAAATGGCTCCAGGCCTGGAGCATAACTGAGCTCACTTCTCCCAGGAGGTTTCCAACAGACCCCCGAGGAGCTGCGTGGCTCCTGAGCAGGGACTGTTGTGCCGATGGTGGCGGGGATCGGCCGTGAATAACGCCACGCAGGAAGGAGAGAGTGCCCCTTTTCCTCCTCTAGGGATTTTTCTTCACCTAAAAAGCACAGACACAAACGCCATCTGTTTGGTAATCGTACAGCAATGGGGGGGGGGGGGGGGAATGATAGAAAGCACACCTGACATCTGTCCCCTTGTTAACCGAAACTTCTCATTACTCAGTTCTCTACAACCAGACCAGGGTTTCAGAGAGGAAAAGAAGTATTTGAAAACCTCCCTGGACACATCTGAGGTACATCTATTAACGCTGCTGTGTCTTGCCCTTCCCCAGATTGCATCTTTGCACTGACCCGGGCGTCTCCCGCAGGAACCGGGCCCGTTCCCAGCGGCTGTGAGGCGAAGGGAGGCAGCAAAGCTGGGCTGCTGCTTCCCCATCCTCTGTGCGCCTCGGATCCGAGTTCGGACCGAGCTCAGAAACCCAGAGCCTGATAAATTAAGCAGCCACACAGGTCCCAGCACGGGGAGTTCTGCGTAGGGCAAGCGCAGGTGGTTTTTTCTCACCGCAGAACAGGTGCAGTTTTATTTATAAATGCTCCTGTCCACCTTCCCGTGGAAAAAGACTTGTCAAACAAATAATAAAGTTAACTGAAACAGGAGGGGGGTGTGCACGACCTTACTCACTTTTCGGCGATTCATGTGGATTCGGGTAGATCCGATGGCAGACCAGTCTCACTTGGCAGTCTTTTTTTCTGATGCGCTCAGCTTCTCCACATAGTCACCTCCGGGGCAAAATTTTCCATTTCTTGCACCAAAGATGTGGTTTGCTTCAGACTAAGACACTTCTTCCAAACCTGTCCATGCCAATTTTTGGATGTCACCTCCCCTGGATACAGGCCTGTATGAGAGAGCAACAAGAGTATCTTGGTTTTGGTAAACGAGACGTAGCATTTGTTTAATTTGTTAGCCACACCTCGGTGGAAATTCTCACTTTATATGAGGTGGCCACTAAAATACAGCCATCTCAGCCCATCGTGTAATCTGTCTGCTTAATCCTACTGGGTTTTGTGTGAAAACCATCCAGAGAAGCCTGCAGTCAATGTTTGTGTAGTTAAAATTCCAGATTACTTTTGCTAGTGCCTCTTACAGAAACCCAGGCCTTCAGTGTGCCCCTGCCCCTGGTGGTTTCCATCCCACTGCCCTCACAACGTAGCGCGCTCTTTTTTTATTTTAAGTCTGACCTTTCAAAATGCAGAGCCTTAAAAACAGACCAACCTCCACTTGAACTCTCAGTGATTTAAATGTAATTTAAAAACCCACGTTGTCTCTCAATCCAAGGTTCATTTCTGAGGGCAGAAAAAAAATCGCCTCTACAGACAGGGGAAACTCCTTCAGGGCTTGCTGAAAACGTCCTGCGCTTCTGGTGAAGCTGGAGATGACCTCTAATGTGAGGTCATCCAGTTATCACAAACTGCTCCAGCCAAACCACCCTGGTTTGCTGTAAGCATCAGTGGAATCGCTGCTACCGATACGATAATCAGTGACCGCCGCAAGTCTGTTTTAATCCACCATTTTCTCTGCTTCTGAGCGAGAACTGAGGAGAAAAGGAAGCTGTAAGACAGCCTGCTAGGGGATGGAGCGTTACCTGGAGATAGCCCGTGCCCTGGTACGGCTGCCCTCCTCCGCACTCCTCACCCAGCACAGCGAGGACGCACAAAGACACAATTATTTTTCCTCACTTTGTCCACATCCTTACCTGCAAAATCCTAGTTTGGCATGTCCAGGGCCAACTGGAGGCACAGGACAAGTGCAGGGAGACTGAGACTACGAGGCTGGTTCCCATTTCTTTTTGAAGCGTCAATTGTTCCTCCGCTAGCCTCTGCTTGGCAGTGAGGTTGGGAGCCTCGCTCCCCGCTCAGCCCAGAATTTAAGCCTGGGGTGATGGCTCGCCAGCCCCCTGCCAGGCTGCCACAGTTCTTTAATGCCTACTTCCCCAGATAATTTTCTGGTCATTCAACATGTCACACAGGAAAAAGGGGATAGTCCATAAAGGTAACAGTCCTTAAAACAAATCTTCCTCTAAAGAGCTTGCAATCTCGACAGAAATCCTCAGAGACATACAGGTGGCTGAATGGGACTAAAAATAGCTCTCACGCCACCATATACAGACCAAAGGGACTGTATGCAGACGTGTAGATTTAGCAACTGAAATTCAGGTCTGCTGAGCACCGGCAGTCAGGGAAAACCACCAAAATCAATAGAATCACACACAATTTCATCTTGCTCAGCCTCTCCCTTCAGGTTTGAAAACACCCATGGATGCCTCTGCTTGGATTTTATCAGGGCCATATTATTATCAAGGCAGTTTGGCAAAACAGACCAGAACCAGCCTTTTGCACGTGCTTTATTCTGCCGCCTGCAGCCCCCCCTTCTTGTGTATTCATAAAAAAAAAATCCCCTATTTCATTACAAAAAAGGTGACTGAAACAGATAGTGCTTTAAATAGACACCCCAACCCCTCCGGTTAGCCAGATTTATTTTTAACCTTCTGCAAAATATGGGGCACAAGGAACAGCTTGCCACTGCTTCAGAAGACAGCTCCACATAAAAGTCTGTTGGCAATACTTTCCGGGGAGGGGGAAAGGAAACAAAACCAAATTTTGATCTCCTAAAAATGGAGCCCTAGTGAGACAACAAGGTTGGTAGAAAAGAATTATGGCATAACCTGCTACCCTGCCAGGAGCTGGGCTCGCACCCATCATCCCCTGCCATCTCCCAGGGGAAACCTTGCCTGTCAGCACCGCTGATGCAAGACAAATGCTCATTGCATCATGCAACCGCTGCATGCAGTGTTTGCGCTTGGAGAAGAAGCTCAGGGCGCAGATTCCGAGGTCTTGGAACAGCTCTAGGGTTAAGGGACCCAGCCAGCAAGGCCTGAAAGAAGGGAAGGCAGCCTGTAAGGTGACGGGCTGCCCTTTCAGGAACTGGCATGCCCGGCAGCCTTGCCCCGTGGCTTGAGCGTATTGAGAGCCTGGCAAGAGCAACCAAGCCCAGGGAGCCGAGGGTGGCGCCAGCTGCATGAAAGCCTGTGTCTAGTGGCAGGGCTGCTGCTAAGGAAAAGCTGGAGAACACAGGAAGATTTGCCATGTGCTGCTAACGTTGAGACACACATGCACGGCAGGCAGCAGAAATTCAGGATACGCTGATGCAGTAACCCTGGCCAAGAACGGGCCTGCCAGCATCGTACTTAGTTCTGCCTCCCCTGTTGTCCCCTGACATAGGTGTTTGGAGGCCCTTGCTAAAAAGCGCTGTTAAGACTGGGCTTCCCTTAAAAAGTGGCCTTTTCTGCACAATAGGCATACCTATGCTACGGAGACAGCTCTGGCCTTTGCAGGTTACACTGCAATGTTTATTGTTCCATGTTACACAAGTGATCCCAAATCTGGGACAAAAAAAACCCCAACACGGTCCTCTCCGCTATTCCCCTCCCTCAGGAAAAGTCTGCTTGCCCAATACCTCAGAGAATTTGCCTGGGACCCATCTCAGAGCCTTTCATATACCATAAATCCCACAGAGTCCCTTTTCCATTCCTAAGAAACCCCTCAATGCAGTGGGCAGAGCTGGAGGAAGAATTCAGCTTTGCCACAGACCTGCTCTTGCTTTCCGCCTCTTTTACCCCTCCCCTCTCTCCTCTTGTCTGCTTTGACTGAAAGCTCTTTGGGGGCAGGTCAAGCATTTAATAGATGTTTGCAGAGAATCTGGTGCAAATGGGATGCTGATCTCAACGCCTGAAGTGTTTTTTCAATATGAGTCAAGTGATCTTTTAGTCCGATTGCTCAAAACTAGGAGCCAGAGCTGTGACCCCGCAGCTCTCCAGCCACCTTCTTGCCTTACGCCCCTCACCCCCAGGTGGGACAGTGCCACTGATGGTCCCATGTCCCGTAAGGACCAGGGTGGTTTTGCACTCCCTCGCACTCAGCAGCTGCCTCACTTGTTGGTGATGAACAGAATAGAAATGCATGGTAATAGTGCAACCCCCTGTCCCCCCCCCACCTCCGAAAGCCGGAGATCTTTGTGCATTAAGCATGCCTGGTTTCAGCCCCAGCCACATTTTCCACAGTGTCAGTGGTGGTCGGCTGGGCTGTTTATTTTAGGAAACCAATAGGTGTATCATTTGCACACGCCCTTATAGGCAGACACAGACTCCCCACTCGTGTTCTTCAAAGAAGGGAAGGCAAGATGAGGAGCTCTTTGTTGCTGTGCGTGGCCTTGGCCGTCTCCTTGGGGTTCATCTTTGTGGCAGGTAGGTGAGAAATGAGGAACACTTAAAACTCTGCTTAATATATGCGTGACAGGTTTTGTGTAATCAGCCGTTAATAATTTTAACAGTAAAAAAAAAATCCAAGCTCAAAGCCTGCTCAGGAAGTTATGCTTCAGGGGTGCCTGGACACCTCAGTGCCTTTCTGCACCACAGGGCTGTGCCTTTAATTGCTGCCTTGAAGCTAAAACAAGTGATTGCTAGCTGCAAATTGTAGACTTTACAATTAGCCATTTTTGATGGGGTTTCTGCAGCAGCAAACCGCAAACACGCATGCTTGCTTTTCTGCAGCACTAGGAAGCTTGCAAGACTCTTACCTGCTAGATTTAAAGGCTCCTAAAATCTTCCTGGTCCTCCTGCTGTACGGCTACAGCCAACTTATTTCTGATTAAACTGTAGTTTATTGTGTGACTCCACTGAGATGGAGACTCTTGATGTAGACCGAGGCCAGGCTGTCACCCCAGCGTGCTCCTCAGTGTGGATCCCAGATAATAGCTACGGACCGTGCTAATGCCAGATCTCCATACGACAGTCCGAAGGCATCCTCATTCACGCAGTGGGTCTGGTCCGCAGGATTAAATCCCTGCTGATGGACAGCCATCCCAACAGCACGGACAAGAGCATCCCTGCATTTCCTCCAGCTTTTGGGAAAGGGCATCTTATTCCCTAGCAGGGCAGGTCCTTGGAAGGTTCTGCTTCCTATGCAAAGCGACCGGCTGTGCAAGCTGTTAGCTGAGAAGGCAGAAAACATTGAGAAATACCGTGGCAGTTCAACACAGAGCCCAGCCTGCTTTTCTGCATTCATACACCTGGCTTAAGAGATATGTGTATATATATATATACGTGCACACATGTAAGCAGCTTAGAGGGGAAATCAAATTTGAGTTACAGGCATGCCATTTGTACTAATTATATTGAAATTAATGTATTTTCAGTCTCATTGAGCCTCTTCCTACTTTATTAAAATAGCCACTTGTACCTGCAGCAGAGTCAGAGCAGATATTTTTGGCATGCGCTTGCTTCTTCACTATATATATTCACTTCACTTATATATATATGTACTTATATTTATATATATAAAGCGCCTATCACCATAATGATAAACATTCTTTGGAACCACTCTGACGTGTGGTTTTGTTGGGCTTCACAGTATGTGACAGGACAACCCCGTATTGGAAGATGAGAAATTCTGTCAAAATGATCTCTGCAGGAGTGTTGAGGAGGGAGGGAACAGCGTATCGCAGTAGATCGCACACCACAAACCCCAACCTGCAGACATTTAGAAGGGCATTAAGGAAATGTTGTATTTATCTACTTTCTCCCCAAAGGGACTTTACTGGGCGATATGTGGAAGTACTACTGATAAAATTATCATCTTTTTTGCAGCTTTGTAATTTTATGTAAAAAAAATTATATGGAGCACCTGTAACTTTTATGGCTACTGAAGCCAAGAGTACGACACAAGGAATTAAATCAGGACAATATTTTTAGAGTACAGTCAAAACCCCCTACATATTCATAAAAGGGTATGTTGATAGAATTTTCTAAGATGAATTAAAGCCTGCTCCCAAAGGTTTAGGGAAAACTCGCCATAGGATTTCACTTGAATATTGGCTTTGGATTAATGGCTTAGAAAGAATTGCACACGATGTTACACAGAATACAGTGACAGACATCAGAGGAAGCACTATGTGAAGGACAAGAAGCCAGAGACTGGGTTTGGTACTTGCAAGCAGGCTGAAGGAGCTGTAGGAAGAGTGATGCTGCAAAGCGATGGCTGCAAACTTGATTTTAGCAGCATTTTGAAATACAGAGGGACATAAAAACAACCACTTCAGAAAGGTATGACTGTGTGTGCATATGCAAGCAAGGCTGGCTTGTTATAGGTGAAGAGACTGGGTTGGGGAAAACCAACTGGCAAAGAACAAGCACAGTAAGTCAGCACTGCATGTCACCAGGAACTTTCAAAAAGCCTCTGCGTGACAGATGGGATGTTTTACCCTCTTTTGACAAAGTTTCATATTGAATAACCTGCTAAAAGTACGGGAGACATAGCCAGGCTGGTTCTTCTCTATCTGAGTAAGCTCCTCAGCTGCCGAACTCTACTTCAGTGCAAACAGGAGATCAGAAGACCAGGACTGGAGATTTCCCTGCCTATCACAACCATTTTATGGGCCACTTACCTTTCACTGCCAGGTCACTGGGCTGCCTTCTTGCTGGGTCCTGTAGTGCTTTTTGGCATCTGTTCCCTCGGGGACCTGAAGGACAACATAGCGCTCAAGCGAAATGACCCATCTGCCACGTTGGCAAGGTCAGAGACATTTATTTAGAGGCCAGATCCAAACCAGGGTTTGGACTGCTAGAATGGGGCTGGTGCACGATTGAGGAATTGGGTAACCTCCTCAGCTGGTGTAAAAGCAGCACTTCAGCTCAAGGTACAGCTCGAGGCTTGCAAGGGGACCTTCCTCCCATTTCATGAGAACCCCCTGCAGGTTTGCCTCTCTCTCCAGCAACACAGTGTCCAGGTTCATTGTTTTCTCCCTCCCAGTGCCATCACCTCCACGTACAGAAGTAAACAGACTGAGCAGGGAAGAGCGCTGCCCAAGAGGCTCATTTGTACCTGTTGACACCTGGACTTTTATCTGTCGAGATGCTGTAACGGTCCATTTCTGGCACTCTCACTACTTGGCTTTCTGCTAGAGCACAGTTTCAAGGTTTTTTCCTTTTGAACCTGGGATTGCCTATCCTGTGCTTGCAGGTTTTCCCCAGGACCCTGAGGACAACGAGTACGTGCTGGTCAATAACAAGTGTCAGTGTGTAACAGTGACCTCAAAGTTCGTCCCCTCCAAAGAGAATCCTAATGAAGAAATCCTGGAGAGAAACATACGCATCCTGTAAGTGGCAGACAAGCATTGCACAGAGGTGGTGAACAGGAGATTGAGTATTAGAGGAGTTCCCTTTGCATTGCTTCCCATGTCCTGCCATTGATCATGCAAACTGTTTTTCCCATGAGCTGCTTTCTATAGTATCCTGCAATAATTCCTTTTGCTTTGTGTTTTTCTAGTTCATGTGAACCGATCTGGTGTTGTACCTTCAGATGCAAAAAGCACCTCTATGTTTTAAGCGGTTCGCTAGTAACTTGACAAAATAGGCTGGGGAGTCAAGCGTAATGTTTCAACAGTTGATCTAATCTGAAACCAAACTGGGCCCATGACACTCGACTCATTTACCTATCTGTATGCAAGCCTGCTATTTTATGGGCTGCAAAAACTAGTTAATGCCTAAACTGTCAGAAAAGGTTAAGCCTATGAGGCAGATCTCGGTTTGGGAGCAGAATTGTCCTCTTTACTCACATGAACCTTACAGAAGTGTGCATCTGTCTCCTGGAAACATGGACCAAGTTCAGGCTCAATGCTGCAGGAGTTCTGGTGGAGCTCACAACAGCAGAAGCTCTTAACGTCTCTGTGCCCTGCAAGTCTCTCGGGCATCTGCCAGCTAAAGCTTAACAACAAAAAAAAGATTATCAGCACTGTCACCGTGCAAGCGGCACTTTCAGAAATCGCTGCAGTCCTGTCTGGAAGGGCTGTTGCCTTTGAGGGCATAGAAAGGCCAAGATCTGCCATTCCTGGGCTTTGCTACAGAAGAGTCAGAAAGGAAACAACCTGAAGAACAAGATGGGAGTTAAGAATTATTTGCAGCGTAGTCGTCCCCTATTTAATAAGCAGTTTTCACAAGAGCAATTCTCTTCCGTCCTTTGCAGAGTCCCCCTGAAGGCTCGAGAAAACATCTCTGACCCCCTGTCCCCACTCAGAACCACTTTTGTCTACCGCATGACTGAACTGTAAGTAGTTTTATTCACTAAGTTGATTTCCTAAGACTTAACCTTCCCTGCAGCATTGCCCACAGCAGCTCAAAAACGTGCTTGAAGGCCAGTAGAGAAGGTGAGGCAGGGTCACAGAGGAAGCTTTTCCCCATGGAGCCCAGCTTTCATACTCTGTTGCAAGCCAAGAACTTATCTCCATGATTCATTCACATAAAAAGGTCTCACATTTACAAGGAATGTTTCATTCTGACCTCTGTTCATCTCAAACGTATTCAGTATCAGCAAATTACATGTTGCTTGTTTAACCCGCCCTTTCAGGGGCCAGTCTTACCAATAGCAGTTTGAAAAAACCAAAAAGCCTCTGACTGGGAGTTTCTACGTAAAACCTAGGAAGGCCACAGTACCCACCTAGCTACATCTGCAGTGAGCGAGGAGGATTTGGGTTTCACCAGGGGCATCTTTTCATCACAACTCTTAACACTTGTTCTATTCCCCATCTCTTCCAGCTGCAAAAAATGCGATCCCATAGAAATTGAGCTGGGTGGTGAGACATACCAGGCTCAGCAGGGCAATGACTGCAACGAACCCGAAACCTGCTATACCTACAACAGGGACAAGTGCTACACCACGACCTTCCCGTTCGTCTACCAAGGGGAGGTGAAAAACGTTCAAGCGGTTCTGACACCGGCATCCTGCTACGCCGATTAGCTCAATCCACTGCTGTACTAACGCCATGTTGCACTCAGTGTTCCTACCAAAAATACATGTCTAGCACCATAGTACCTGGATGACAGTGTCCAAAATATCAGCTCCCAGAATAATGCTAACTTGCCTCTTCATATTGTTTCCAACATGAAGTGAGTGCCACCTCCCAAGAGCAGCTAATGGTTAGCATAGACTATGTTCTCCTATCCCCAGCACCTATCTGCAGTGCCATTACTATGAGTCTCGGACGGTACCATCAGATAGACCAGATCCTCAGCAGATGTAAATCAGTTATTCCCCTGAAATCAAGGGAACTACGCTGATTTACAACACTGAGGAGCCTGTCTTTTTGACAGTCTTCCATCAGTCTTCATCCGAGCAACGCTGCCGTGGACATCAGCAGGAATGTCTGTGTTCTTCCTTCCCTCCCTGAGCAATCCAAAGCAAACCTCTGCACAATCATAATACAAGACCCTTTGATTACATTAGCAGAATTTGTGCCATTAGTAGAAGTCTGTTGTACAATCAGATCTGAGAGCAAAGATGAGGAATGAGACCAAAAATTCAGATGTCAAAGTTATTTTGCAATTGGGCATTCTAGACCATTCTAGCACTTGGACAATTGCAAACTTCCAGTTTTCTCCTGGATTTGGAGAACACCAGAAGACTCCGCAACCCTGAAGTGTTTGCCCAAGTTGCCAGGACCTCAGCTGTGCCAGGAATAGTAAACTTTTTTAGGACATGTTCAGTATTTCAACTTTCCACACTTATTTACCAATATTGATGCCTTCTTCCAAATCTGCTCCCGCTTCAATCGATGAAAAAAAGCCCAAGCTGGCTTGAATTTCTTTTATTGTTCCTCATTTTGCATTCAGAGCTGCAAGGCATTCTTTGAAGCTGACTCAATTGCAAGAGCAGGACCCTAGTTAGGGATTCATTTCTCCTTACACACCAGTAGTCTTCATACAAGAAACCCTCACCACATCAAGGCACTGATTCTGAATTGCGCCTTAGATTTAAACGCATTACACTCAGTATTGCCCATAGGGATGACACGTATGGGAGCATTTAAGGTGTCCGGCATTACACCTGGGGCAGCTGGTATGTTTCTCACTGTTGTCAGAAGTTTATTGTAAAGCCCTTGGCTGTTCTGAAAAGCCCTTTTCTGGCTTCACATGTAATTGGAATAATATAACAGCAAAAACCTTATTCCCATAATTGTAGCTTTGTTAGTGAAATATTAAATAAACTTTTTTCCGCAGCAGTCTGTATTACATTCCAGTTCAATAAGAATTTGTAAGAATAAGCCAAGTCTATAACCATATTCTTTCATCCTTCAAAGCCAAGTAAGAAGCTCTCCCTAAATAACTGCTTATCCTTGCAGGCAAAGCCTCACAAAGTACTGGGGCAGAAATATTCTGATGCACTGGCAGAAACTATGACAGACTGAGGCTGAACCGGTTTATGATTTTAGGAGCAGCTCTGCATCACTGAGCTGCTTCAAGGCCCTGTGTGTCAGTGTAGGATTGGAGTTTAAAAATCCAAATGTCGTCTACATCGCTCTTGAAATGGCAACCCGGAGATCGGAATTTTACCTCACTACTGAAAAAGAGTGCCTTTATGGCAGTATGTCGGGGGCCAGTCATTCATATGCAAGGTATTGGTCTGAAAGAAATAACAATCTTGGGGGGGGGGAAATTCTGAAGAGGACAAAAGTAAAGAGGACTAAGATATAAGTTTATGACATCAGAGTTACGGAAAATTAACTCAGAACAATACCTTCTTTCCCCCCCCTCCTTCATGCAAAAGCTAGCTAATTCAGAGCAGCACAAAATGCAAAGGGAGGCAAAGAGACTCCTGCCATCTACTGACACTGCTCTAAGCATTTCAGTGGTTCAGCACTAAGCTCAGTGAAATTTGTCTCAAAGGTATTTTCATCATGAAAGTCCTGGTGTTCACTGTCCCAGGTGTGCTGCGATCTTAGAAGGTAGTGGGTCACAGTGAGGCTGCATTTCATCTCCCGACACAGCCCTTCGGGTCACAGCCACAGGAACCTGTCGGTCCTTGGGGCCTTGCCTCTACTCTGGAACCCTGCGCCTAAACATGAAGTTTCCACATTCATTTGTACATCCTGTTGTAGAGACAAGGGGAGATTCACATTTACTCACGACAGGACTGGAAGTGACCCTGCCACGCATCTCGGGAGTCCAGCAACGCCAGCACAACCGACGGCTCACGAGAGGCATTCAGGAAAAGGGAAATCACAGCACAGAACGTTGTCCAAGCAGCTATGAACAGGACTTGCTTAGATGATCTCGGGCAAACAGCCACTGTGAAACAAGAAAAAGGTGCTCAGCAAGCTCCCCATGTGCTATTCAGCTCTATAATAAAGCAGGATTCATTCCCCTCATGTTTCCTGAGACACAGAAAATAGCCTGAACTGACAGCCCTGCCCACCCCTTGGTACTGGAGTGTGTTAGCCAGGTTTTAAATAACTCAAAGCAACACAGCAACTTAAATCAGGCTCTGAATTCTTACCTGAAAGACCAGGACAATCAAATAGGAGCAAGTGAGGTCAGCTTATCCCTGCGAGCATGCTGGGGGGGGTGTCTGGGACCTTCTAGCCAGGGGAAGAGGTGCTGATAGAAAAGAGAACCCCCCCCTTGCTGGTGGTTGTCTTAGATGTGCCAAGGAAACCATGTCCTGCTTTGGAAGATGTTGTTTCTCAGACTGTGTGGCCACTTCTTCAGAGTGGGGTTTTCTTGGTGAGCCCTGACATTGGGGTCAGAATGCCTCCCGTGCTGTGAACACCTCCGCTTGGTTCTCTAAGTGACTATGGTGGCACAAAGCTTCCCACTTGGGCTTGCAATACTTTCCTACCAGTGCCATCTCCATCCGGCTCAGGTTGGCTCCTTAGCAGCATTTAATGTTTCTTGAATGGTTCATCTTCATGCATTTCAGCTAATTCTTTTTGTCTCAGACTTACAGGAATACATTCGTATTTTATCTCTTCATAGACTATTTCTAGACTTGATTCCTCCCAGGTCTGTCCTCCTTGTCTAAACACTGTTCTGTCGCTTATGCAATGTTGAGTTCAATAGGAATTTCTCGCTAGTTTTTTTTAAAAGTCCTTATTCAAGCACAGAAATTTATCCTCATCATCCTGCTTCCAGTTTGACCAGAAAATTTAATTAGCAGCAGAAACAGCACATATCAAAGCCAAGCAAAACAAACCCTTGAGCTCAAAGGTGTTGTTTTACAGTAGGCAATTCAGCAAAAAAAGCAGCTTATGACCATGACCAGCCAGGCAAAGCTGCAGTTTAACTCACAAATAGGCCAAGGGGCTATGGGACAGCCCAGTTCCCACATCATGAAGGCATCAGCTGTCTTTATTAGGTATTTTTGGTGCAGTAATGGATAACAGGCTATGCTTTTTAGTGACCTTACTTTATTAAGTCTGCTTTTGTCACTGTACAGTTTGTCCAGGGCAGGATCTTACTTTAGAGGAGTACTGCTTTGTACACTCTCCAGCAGAAGGTTTCACGTTTTCAGCAGGTACATAAATGGCAGCCAGCGTTGCCTTAGAGAATTCAGAGATCACTTATTTATATTTTGTAAGCACAATGTGGATGCTTAAAAAACCAGTAAGTTGTTTGTGGACTAAGCCTGCATATTACAGCACAAGGCATCATCAGTGCCTTTGGCCAAGTCCCAGGCACTGCTAGGCTAGTCAAGTGGTTTGTGCCTGGAATTTGGTAGGCCAAACCCAATCTTCAAACTATCTGGCCATTTTAGAAGTAACTCAAAACTACTTTTAAGTTTATTCCAACATAAGAATATTCTTTTAGGAGCAGCTCAGCTACTAGCTTCTACTCATTGTAAGAGAATTTAGAGATCTGTATTAATTCATAGTTGTGAAAGAACTTTCTCTTATTTTGTTGTATCTCTTCAGACACGGTCTTGCAAGCTTTGGATGTCTCCTCTGGAGCTCTACTAACATTTCCCCCAACAGGCATTTTCTGAAGGAACTGAAACAGAAGGTTCAACATAAGCATGATTAACAGCCTCAAATAACACTTAGAGAACAATTGAAGAAAAAGGTAAAAAGACCTTAAGAGAAAGAGCCAAAAAATCCAGTGCACATATTGCTCGGTTGCAGCTGTTGCTTATGATAGGAGGTGAAATTCAGTCAAGTCCCCTCTTGAGCATTGAGGTTGAAATCTGTCTTGCACCCACAGTAGCACACAGCACTGGCTTCTGCACATGCTGATGGCACAGGAGGACATCAGCCACACTAGCTGCAAAGCTACACGTGTCCCAAGTGTACATCAAAATACCTGCTCACTTGCTCCCAGGGCAGCACCTTGTGCTGGTCCTTCACACTAAGCCTGAACAGGGACAACCCAGCACCACTTTCAAGACCCCCAGGTGCCTTCCAAAGCCCCATTTGCCATTACACCAATTCCTCCCCTCCAAAAGCTCCAACAGTCAGAAGAGAGAAGATCTGGAGGTCCCTGATCTCGATGGTTTTACAACCAGGACCTTGGGACAACCCAGCAGTAGCCATGAGCACATCAACACGGGGACACAGCCAACACCCTCAGCGGATTCTCACAACTCACTTGGGGCTTTCTGTAGCCCTTTCTTCCCAGGAATTCCTTAAAGGCCTGTGTGCTGTGGAATTGTGTGACTTACATGTCCTGAATTCATTTGCAGAGTAGATTAAAGTAAAATATTCAAAATTCATTTTTATATACAGATTCCACTTGCCTAAACAAACCACGCAGTCTGTACCTGTCCAGCTCTCATGAAAACTTATCAAACAATAAATATTTTAACTGCTAACAGCTGTAAATAGTGTAGGTATTTTTTCTTTCAAAAGAAATGAGGTTGCTTCATGTACTCGAAGCCATTTCTAGCAAATTGTAACCTCTGGTCCTGTAATCTCATGTGCTGTGTTACACAAAGTCATTTCTCCCAGCACCTTTGGTAAGGAAGGCAGGAAGAGTTATTCCTCATTATCTGAATGAGCGCTCCTGCCATTGGTTATCTGTTGTATATTCCCAGGAGGAGCTGGGCAAAATGAGGCGGATTCCCATCCAAGCACAAAATTTGCCTTTATTTTAAGGATTATTAACAAAACTTTGTTATGTAACAGAAAAGGCCTTTGTGGTGTTCGGAGCTCAGCTGGCCCCGGGCATCCTCTCTGCAAAGCTTACTCCTTGATCTTGCAGACCGCATTTCTTCCCAAAACAGCAAGTGACACTCGCCATTCAGCTCACCAGCCCTTTGCACCCAGCGCGGTTTTAGTCACATGCAACTCTGATTTTACCTTTGGAAGGACCGCCCTCTAGAGCATGAACCATATCTTCCCTTTTGTCTATGTATGAAGTGTGAAGATGGAGTAGGTTTGGAGGGTTTGTTTTTTTTTTAATCACAAGAACACTAAACCTACATCTTAATAAACCCAGCAGTCGAAAAATTACCTTCCTGCTCTTCAAAGCTCTTTCTAATAACACCTCGTACCACAGCTGAAACCAGCACCTTTGTCCAGATGGGTATTGCAGTAAAACAAAAGATAAAACCACCCTAAAATGCTCTGAAATTACAACTGCTTGCTTTCAGCATGTGAAGGCTTTTTGGCCACCTGTGATACCAAGAGCATTCAAGGAACTCGATTTACTCAAATTACATCAACTAAATCTTGAATTGTGCTTAAAATCCTTCTAGATCTGTTGTCCACATAAAGGTGCTGCCAAGACACAGTCTGATCCAAGTGAAAAAGCCTGTTTGAGCATGGTTTCCTCCGCTTGGATTATGTGCTATATCCCACATTTATTTGTGGCTGTCAGGCACAACACAGTGCCTAGAGACATAGGTAATCTCTCAAAGCTATGTCACAAAAGAATGAGATCGCTTTTTTACATTCACGGTACCTTTTCAGATAAGTTCTTGGCATTCCCAAGGCTGCTGATTGTCGCCTCTGGAGCTTTTAATGGTTCCTTCGCTTTCTGTTTTCTCCACACTCCAGATCTGATCTTCTCCCATTTTGTTTGGGAAGGGACCTGCAGAAACATTGCTGCAGTGTTCTTTCATCATGTTGGCATTTACCCCTCATGCCATAGGCTGTACAGACGCTGTCCCAGAACCTGAACACCACCTCTGGAGAGTCTACCAGGGAAGATCTTGTAC